GCGGCTCCGAGGCGCGGGAGGCCGCGCCGCGCTCTGTGAACTTGGAGCCTGGCGCGCGAGGCTCGCGCCGGGGATGCGGCGGCGGCTGCTTCCTGGTTTGAAACTCGCGGAGGGGGGAGCGCGAGCCGGCGGGGGCGGGGGCAGGAGCAGCGGCAGGAGGCGGAGGAAGAGACGCTTGGGCTGAGCTAGCCGGACGGGTCGCTCCGGCTCTCGGCCGAGAGGAGCTTCCCGGCCCTGGAAAAGGGGCGAGTCCTGTGCGAGCCCCCGAGAAACGCCGCGCGCTCTCAGGGACAGTCGGGGTAGCCCGGACAGCTGAGGGCTCAGCGCCGGGCTCCCCTCCTTTCCACCTCGCGAGGGAGAGAGGGAGGGAAGGAGGGGAGGAGAAGGTCCCGCGGAGGAGGCGGAATGGCCGGGCTCGGGGGGCTTGGGCGCTGCTCTTCCCAGGAACTGCCGCCGCTCCTGAGGCTGCCGCGAGGGCTGGCCTGAGCGGGGGCTCCAGGCTCTCCTGCCGCGAGCCAGCGTGCCCCCTCGGGGCTGCGGAGCCGGCATGTCGTCGGGCACCATGAAGTTCAATGGCTACTTGAGGGTCCGCATCGGCGAGGCCGTGGGGCTGCAGCCCACCCGCTGGTCCCTGCGCCACTCGCTCTTCAAGAAGGGCTACCAGCTGCTGGACCCCTACTTGACAGTGAGCGTGGACCAGGTGCGCGTGGGCCAGACCAGCACCAAGCAGAAGACCAACAAACCCACGTACAACGAGGAGTTCTGTGCCAATGTCACTGACGGTGGCCACCTCGAGCTGGCCGTCTTCCACGAGACGCCCCTGGGTTACGACCACTTCGTGGCAAACTGCACCCTGCAATTCCAGGAGCTGCTGCGCCCGGCAGGGGCCTCGGACACCTTCGAGGGTTGGGTGAGTAGCTGTGACCCTCCCCATTTGTGTCCACTTTGCACTCTCCCCTCTCTTTTTCAACACTCGCTGGCGCCCGCTTTCCCATCGTCTTCCTGAGCTCCGCGAGAATTCCCTCCAGACTTTTGTCCTCGCCCAGGTGGCCTTGGTGACACGCCCGCGGTGGGCGTGTGAAGGGGCAGGTGTGTCTCCAGGAGATCAACCTGGACACGGTTCCCTTTCGGGATGGCCTTCTGGGTTAACGGGAAGTCTTTGGGCAGGGGACAATCACCCCCTACCTCTGCTGGGACTTTGGCTAAGGCGCCCCAATTCTCCGCGCGACAGTAACACGCAGAAAAGACAGGGAGATTTTGATACCCAAGGGACTTGATTTGGGTAAAGTACTTAAAGAGTTTCTTTGGAGAAAGCCATACATTCTCTCAAGTATTATTCATAATGTTTATGGATACTTGTTGGTTCAGCCGCTCAGACGTGCACACGTGTTTCAGCTTGCACATCCATTACATCCCAGAGGTACATTAACCTACCCTGGCAGGGATCACAGTGCCTGGGTCTTCACCTTGGCGAAGTTTTACGGTCTAGCAGTTTTCCAAGGAGAGAGGTTTATATGTGTTTGCAAGTAACGTGGATCTCAGCCTGAGAGGTGTGAGTCCTGTGGTTCGGCTTTGCTGGTTTATTGGTCTAAGAGCTTTGAGCTCCTTAGCAGTTTGTGCAGGACCCTTGTTCTCGCCCTTCCTCCACCCACCCACCCCACCCCCACCCAGTCACCTGCTGGTGTTTCTGCGTATTGACAAAAAGTTTCCTACAACTTCCCACTTGCCTCTGCTGATTTCACACAATTCCCATGCGACAGAGTTTCTGCTTAAATAAATTAAAATTTCTAGGGCACTCTACACCATGCTAAAGTGCTTTTGCTTCTTAATCTTCATACTGCCTTTGTGATGCAGTTGTTGTCCTTTCCACTTTTACATGATGAAATGATAATTATAATGAAGTGGTTGGATTTGTAAACTGTCTCAAGACTTTGGAGGATGTCAGTATTGAATCTAGAATGTGAATCAGTTTTGAAACCTGTTTTAAATTGACAAATGGTGGAATAAGATGGGTAAGACGAAGACTCACTTAGATATTTTCTTTACACTTTAATAAATTAATAACTTGATCATATGTTCTCTAAAATGACAGATGGCTTGTGGAGCTAGTCTTTTAAATATAAGTAAACAATCATAATGACTACTTAACTGTATCACCACATTATGGTGAGGTAACGCCCCTCTAGCTGAATCTTGTGGAATTTAGAAATGGGCTGGAGAGGAATGGCTAAAATATGGTTAGAAATTGATAATTGGGGCCCTCCCTGGTGGCGCAGCGGGGTAAAGCACAGCACTGAGAATCTAAAGCCGCTTCCGCATGAGTTCGGTTCCCGCCTGCCCCGGAGGTGACCACATGGCGCGGCAGACCTCTCCTGACCCGCCCGCTGCTCCCCTCAGCAGTGTACTTCCTCGGTCTGCCTGCTCTGCTCCCCGCTCTGTCTCTGGTGAAGCCTCTCGCCGCCCCTGAATCTCTGGCCTGTACCCCAGTTCTGTATGAACAAATAATCTTTAAAAAAAAAAAGAAATTGATAATTGGTATGTTACCATGTGAATTTCTGGACAGAAACCAAATTGACACTAGGAATCTAAACAGGGTGAATTAGTGTCTCATTAAGAGTTAGTTTGGGCAAAGCTCTAGGGGAGTGTGGTGGTATGGTTGACTGGCCAGTGGCCTTTAGAATATGTCTTCCTAGAGCAATTCTAGACTGATCCTTTTTACCTTTCATCTGCACAGTTGAGTCACCTGGTGAGTTTAAAAAAAAATCCCTATGTTTGAAGATTCTAGACAGAAATCTGTGGGAGTGAGACCCTAGGATCAATGGTTTTAGGTTCCTTAGGTGATTCCAATGCACAGTCAAAGCTGAGAACTTCTGGCCTAAAGGACGAAAAGAGATGAAGACAGGAAGAAGCAGAAGTGCAGGAAGATTCAGATTACCTGATGAGATGGTGGTATGCTGAGCTGCTTATTGTCTGGCCAGGTGAACAGACTTAAATGTAAATTTTGTAAACCTCTTGGTGGTGTTTTAGAAAACACAAGTGTTTTGTAGAAGAGGTCAGCTTTTAAATAACCTAGAAACCAGTGATTTGTCATGCATTTATATTTAAGTTGAGAGATTTTTTTTTTAACAAAATATAGGGCACATTTGTCTTTAAAGTGATGTTTTACAGATCAAAAAATAGTTTTGAAGTTTAGAATTTCAGAAATACTTATCTTTAGTATATTAAATTTATTCAGTCACAATTGGAATAACTGAGTTTGCACCACAGTAAATTTACATGTCATAGTTCCATTGCAGTGGAACTATGGTTGCTGAACTTCAAAAAAATCGAGCAACTTAATTTTTGCTGGAACATGAGAAGAGACAAAAAACAAAGTACCTTTAAACAAAGATATGATGCTTTCTGTCACAATAGGTGTTCTCCATGTCAAGAAGGTAATCAGTAACCTAATTATTTTCATATAAGTATTTTATTGATATTACCTTCTACGCTTGACAAGAGAAGGGGTTAGATCTCTTTGTGTACCACACCTGACGTGGAATAGACAATCAAACACTTGTTTCCTAACTATACATATATTAGTTAATTAAATAAAACCTTAGAAAGTGGTGGAGCACACATAGCTAAGAAGCTCTTAAATGGAAATTTATGCTTTAAGGACATGACATTTATCATAAGATTTAACACTTAAAAGTAGAAAAGATCTCAAATTGAAGACCTATGTTTTCTCCTGAAATTACGAAAAAGCAATTGAAACCAAAGCTAGCAGGAAGAGGGGAACTATAAAGATAACAAATCAGTGAAGTGGAAAACAGAAATAATATTTAACTACAACTATTTAACCATACCATCAGTGAAAATACATGAAAAAGGGGAAAAAGGCAATATAAATTAGCAATATAGGAACAAAAGGGAGAACATCATTGTAGATTGTACAGACAGCAAAAAAAATTGTGAAAAGATTATGAACAGTTTTACATCAGTAAATGTCACAAATTAGTAGTTTTATGTCTATTAAAATTATTGAATTTGTGGTTTACAGCCTTCACAGTGCAAATACCGATCCCAGGTGTCTTTCCTGGTAAATTCTGTCATACACTTAAGGAAGAAATATGGCCAACTCTACACAAACTATTTCAGAAAGTAGAAGAGCCAGAAACACATCTCCACTCATTTTCATGAGGCTAATACAATCTGAGGATTATATTACAAGAAAACCTCAAAACTATAGACCAATGTACATAAAAAAAATTCCTAAATTTTAACAAATCAAAGCCAACAGTCTAGCAAATCATTACTGAGTGAGGCTTATAACCAGTACTGCAAGGTTGACTGAATGTTTCAATCCATCTTTATATCAACAGAATAAAAAAGATACCCAAATGACCTCGATAGCTATATAAAAAATATTAGACAAATGTCAATATCCAATATAAAACTAAACAAATTAGTAGTAGGGTACTTCAACTAGTTAAGACCACGTGTGAACAATCTACAAGTAATCATAATTAGTTGCAATTAATTAATAATAAAGATCTAAATAAATGGAATAATAAGCTGTATTAATGAATGGGAAGATTCAGTGACTATTAAGACCTCAATTCTTCCCAAATTATTCCATACAGCTAATAAATCCTAGGCAAAAATTTCAGCAAGGTTTGTTGTAGAAATCAACAGATTTATTCTTAAATTCAAGTGGATATGTAAATGATCTAGAGGCATCTAAAAGTAGGTTTGAAAAAGATAAAAAGAATATCTATTGCTATGGTAAAGGTTAATGTAGAATTGAAGAATCATTTAGGTTAATGGAATAGAAGAGATTCTAGAAGTATACTCACGCATATATAATCTGTTGATTTGTTTTTTTAACAAAGATACTAGGTCAGTTTCAGTGGGAAAGATGATAAACTTTTCAGCAAGTAGTGCTTGAACAATTGGATTATGAGCCTTAACCCTCACACCATACTTAAAAATTAACTCAAAATGGTCACAGACATAAATGTAGGAATTTAAACTTCTGTAAGAAAACATAGCAGAAAACTTTAGTGTTCTTAGGTTCAGAAAATATTTTTAAGCTAGGACACAAAAAGGACCACCTAGTAAAAAAAAAATCAATAAATTGGATTTTATCACATTTAAGACCTACTGCACTATTACTTTTCAAAAGACACATAGGAAAATGAAAACACAAAACACATACTAAGGAAAAAAATAAATTGCCAACAGGTAGATAAGACAGTGACTTGCAAGGCAAATGTAAAAAAGACCATCTAGACTAAGTCAATGAGGAAAATACCCAATTTAAAAATGGCACAATGATTTGAAAAGGCATCTTCACAGCTAAGAGATACTCAAAGTCATTAGTCGTCAGGACATGCAAATTAAAAATCTGATTAGAAAGACAAAAATTAAAAAGAATGATCACCAAGTGCTGGAGAGGAAGTAGAACCACTGGAACTTTGAAATTACAGTGAGGAATATGAAATGATACAGTTCAGTTGGAAAACAGTTCAGCAGTTTCTTGATACATTTAATATATACCTACCATATATACCATTTAATATATACCTACCTAACTGGTCTTACGTATTTACCAAGAACCATCTATACCAAGATTTGTACATTTAAGACTTGTACTTAAATGTTCGTAATCAATTTGTACTAGTCTCTAAAATGGAAACAGTTTCTGTCAAACTATTGCCAATCAGTAGGTGACTGTTTAAACAAATTGTGTGTGAACACAATGGAACACTCCTCAGCAATAAAACTGATGCAGTATTGATAATATGCAACAGTATGGGTGAAATAAAAGTAATTTATCCTGATTGAAAGAAGCCAGGCAAAATAGAGTCCATAGTATGATTTAATTTGTGCAAAATTCTAGAAAATGAAAACTAGTTTGTAGTGAGA